AGCCCTTGGAGAAGGTTTCCAAATTTGAGTGATGGAGTTAAAATCATGGGTGTGCAGTTAAATAGAAGTGTGAGATTTCAAATGGTGAAGAGTTTTAAATTTGAGGTTTTTATAATATAGTAATAGGGATGGGACAAGATGGAGGATTTGGAGTGGCAGAATCCCCAGGTCTGCTTGTTTAAAATTCACTTTAGGTATTCCAAGTTTTCCTTGTTCAGTTGTTGGTTAAATACAGGATTTTGGCATGCCCCCAAGGGATTGTGCATCTGTGTAAAAATCCACAGCTATGGCAAATCCTTCTTGAACTCAACCCTGAGATAATCCCAGCTCCTCCAGGATATTCTCTCCAAGAGAACCCAGCTCAATCTTTCCTTCATTATTACCTCGAGCATTCCTCAGTTTTCTCCTCAAATTGAAAAGTGGCCCTGCCCAAGGAGGGAATGAGGGAGGATTCCAGGGATTGTTACTGAGGATGTTTTCCAGGGATTGTTACTCACTGAGGATGTTTTCTAGGGAATATTATTCACTCACTGAGGATGTTTTCTAGGGAATATTATTCACTTGCTGAGAATGTTTTCTAGGGAATGTTACTCACTTGCTGAGGATGTTTTCTAGGGAATATAATTCACTCACTGAGGATGTTTTCCAGGGAATGTTACTCCCTCACTGAGGATGTTTTCCAGGGATTGTTACTCCCTCACTGAGGATGTTTTGCAGGGATTGTTACTCCCTCACTGAGGATGTTTTGCAGGGATTGTTACTCACTTGCTGAGGATGTTTTCCAGGGAATCTGCTGCTCTGCTCAGTGGCTCCTCCTGCCCCACCATCTTGGCCACGATGGAATTCTGCCGGTCGTTGTTGAGGATCACCGTGGTCTGAGGGACAACACTGCAAAAAAAACCCCCAAAAATAATCACAGAGGGAATGGGAATGTAAAAGAGCAAAGCTTATAAATAATCCATGGAGAGGTTTCTGGTTTAAGTAATCCAGGGAGGCCTCTGGGCCTCGTCCCTCTCCTGACATTGCTGATCCTGGCAATCCATCGAGTCTGACACCTGCACCACCTCCAGGACTCTGATTTTTCCAGAGGATGGATGGCTCCAATGGGATTATATCAAAGTCCACGACCCCTGGGGAAGCAATAAGGAATTCATCAATTCAGGACACACAGGGGGAAGTCTGTAAATCACAGCTCCACCAAATTCTGGGAGAATCTGAGTATTTGCAAAGGCCAATTTACATGGTCATGCACCAGCTTCAATAGGGTAATTCCTAGGAAAAAAGAATCTGAAAGGATTTATTGCAAAAGTGGATGTTTGAGCATGGTTAAAGGGCATGTGTTGTCCTCCAGGGTGGGGAGATGTGCAGCACAAGAAGCATCAGAGCAAACAGGACCAGACTGTGACTGAATAAAAACAAGACTAAACTACTTCTTGTGTGCATTTCACACCCTAAAAATCCCCAAACCAAACACCAAAATCATTTCCTGTGTGAGAAACCAGAAAAAGCTTCTCTTGTCACTGCTGGGGACAATGGAGAAGGCAAACTCGAGACAGGCTAAGTTTCCACTGGACTGCAAAAGGAAATCTGAAATAAACAACTGTCACCACATTCAGATTAGCACCTGGGGTGTTTGCAGGGATTATTCACATTACTGCCACACCACCACTCAATATTCCCAGGGCTGGATTTGAGACTTCAACTGTTCCTGCTGTGCTCAGGGAGAACTGAAGGAGTGGTTTAGTTCCCCACAGTAAACAGCTCACTCTTGTTTTCACTGCTCCAACATCCCAAACGTGACTGGGGATCATTTATTTTCCCTTGGCTAATTGCTGAAACACAAATTAAGCCAATCTGGTGACAGCAAGTGTGTTTCCTTCAGCTGTAGCAGAGCACACATTTGGACATTCACGTGTCTGTGGAAGCCTGAAGTGCCAAATTATCCATCAAGGAAAGATAAGGCCCTGTCATGGAGCTCACGATGAATGCATCCCAGTTTTGGCACAAATAAAATGCTTGACCCCAGATTTTTTTGGCTCCAAAAACCCCAAGCTCCAATGCCCTGCCTCCCTCTGCCAGGGACTGCATGTGCTGCTTGGAACAGATGGGAATCCTCAGGGAATGCAGGGATCACTGGAGTGCAAACCTGGGGAGCTCTGGGAGATGTTTGGCTCATCCCAGAGCAGTGCAGGCTCTGCCAGAGCTCCTCGTGTGCACGTGGAGCTCAGAATTTGGGAAGAATGAAAGACA